CATCACCCGCCACTATAGAAACCCTCTCACCCCCGGCAGGAAGCAATGAGGTGGTACAGCTTTCGGGTGCTAAGAGTGTGTCCCTGCTTTGGAGGGGGAACACAGCCCCCCAGCAAAGTTTGGAGGATGAGCCAAGAGTATAGTCGGACATTGGGAAGCAAATGTTGCAGGAATTGAAGTATAGTTTTTTTTTGGGGGGGTTGCCCCTGCAAGCAGATATCATGCACAATGCAGCCCACTACGAAAATCAGCACCATCACTTTTGTGACTTTTTTGACTTGTCCCCACAAAAACACTTCATCACAGTTTCTTCCTATCTGTTCAAAGGGCCTTTGCTGCACAATACCAAATGTAAGAATTCACTGATAAATGTATCTCTGTACTGGCTCACTTGAAAAACTTCAGAAATTCATATAGACATGTGAGCTCAGCTACTCAGCAGCCCCTCAGCCTGAGGGATAAGCAGCTAATAAAAGTTTGGATTCTCTTTTGATCGGGGATTCTTGCTTTGTCTTGTGGCAGGAGGCTGACCCATGGAAGAGGGAGCCAGCTTGTTTTCTCCTGCCCTAGAGGGGAGCACCCAGAATAAGGGACCCAGAGGACCAGAAAGCAGTTTCTGCTGCCTAAACCGCAGGAAGAACCTTCTGACGGGAAGAGCAGCAGAATCCCTTGGGAGATGGCGGACTCTCCTTCCTTGGAGGTTTTTAAGCAGAGGTTGGATGCTTTGGCTGAGATTCCTGCCTTGCAGGGGGCTGGAATAGATGACCCTTAGGGCTCCCTCCCAGTCTAGGATGAGGTTCCTTGCTTCCTGCAAACCCCTTTTCCCTGCAACCTCTTCCTCCAGTTTCTGGCCAAGGGAGGGAGCGGATCACAGACCAACCAAGAGCGTCCCCTCAAAATGAGCATCTCTGGGATTGTGCAACGCAGGAGAGAAAAGGCAGAGAGGACTGAAGAAGGTGGACTCGGCTTTGCAAGGGTTAAAGGGAAAAGAGCTGCATTCCTAGAGAGGACAGGAAGTAAAGGGGGCCAGGTCCTCCAGGGGAAAAGCCCCTCCCACCCCTTCCTGCAAGCGGGGGGGGGGGTTGCTTTCCTCTGCTGCAAAGGCTTCCTTGCTCTCTTCCACTGGGATCTGGTGAGTCTCCTCTCCCCCCCCCCCGAGGGTGCAGTGGGGAGAAGGTGGGGGTCCCAGGGCTGCAGCAGGGGAGGGTGGCTCATGTGGGGGGGGGGGCGCCCCGGGAGCAGGGGGTCCTGCCAAGGAGGGACGGGGTTGCACGAGGTTTGCAACTACAGTACTCTATATTCTGCATTTGTATAAAGACGCTGCTTACTCCTTTGGGAAGGGCAATCCTCTCCTGGGATCTGGTGAGTCTCCTCCCTCTCCCCCCCCCCGAGGGTGCAGTGGGGAGAAGGGGGGGTCCCGGGGATGCTCCAAAACCTCTTCCTTTGTTTCCCTTCTTTCTTTCTCCTTATTGGCAGAGGAGGCCAGCCAAGCAGATCAAGCCGAGCTTTATGAGGAGCTGGGTATGTTGAGTTGGAGAAGAGGAGACAGAGAGGAGATGGGAGAGCCATGTCACCTGGGGGTAGGATTCCAACCAATGCCTTCAAGCTACAAGAAAGGAGATTCGGACTCAACACACCTAGTCATTTTTCACGAGGCACCAATGACTCCCTTGTCAATCAGTTCTGACTTCATGCATTGACTGGAAGGAAGGAGCAACCAGGCTGAGTCCCCTCGCATTAATCTCTTCGCTTGCCTCCACATTTCCACAATCTCTCTTCTAGAGCCCTACATCTCCTCCTCCTCCTCCTCCTCCTTTTTGAAAGATAGCTCAGAGTCTGGGCTGTGGTGCAGTCCTACCCTGGTTCCCAGCAAGACTCATCCATGTTTCCTCAGGAAACCTTTTTCTTCTCCTGATATTGTACAGCTTTTGTAACAGAACAATGTATTTGCTTTGTAGGATTTGCTAGAGCTTCTCATTCAGACAGAGAGAACTTGGCAGAAGACCAAAAGGTTCCTTCCGATCTCTCAGAGGCTTCCTGAGAGCACAGATGGATGAGCAAGATTCAGCTGGAACAGAAAGAGGCCATGCCAACCAAACTGGGAGCAGTGGGGGATTCTGGGAAAACTCTGTGCAGAAGATCCTGGGTGAGGAGGATACCCTCTGCTCAAAGATACAGAGCCAGCAGGTGAGGCAGTTCTGCTGCCAGGAGGCCAAAGGACCCCGAGAGGTTTGCAGCCGACTCTACCACCTTTGTCGTCAGTGGCTGAAGCCAGAAAGGCACACCAAAGCTGAGATGCTGGACCTGGTGATCTTGGAGCAGTTCCTGGCTGTCCTTCCACTGGAGATGGAGAGCTGGGTGAGGGACTGTGGAGCAGAGACCAGTTCCCAGGCGGTGGCCCTGGCCGAAGGTTTCCTCCTGAGTCAGGCAGAGGAGAGAAAGCAGGTGAGAGAGACTTTGCTCTGGATACTCCCAAGGGGCTCCAAACAGGATGGAGAACATCCAAAATTGGTCTGCTGATGGCCCATCCTTTTTCTGGGAATGAGATCTAACACCCTTAAAGTATCTGTCTTTGTCGTTCTCTTTCTTATATTTCTCACCATTCATTTACTGTTTTGAATCCTTGTTGTTCTTTCAGAAAAGGGATCATTTTGCAGAAATGGACCTGGATTCCTGTGAGGCAGATGAAAGAATGAAGCCAACAAGACCTCCAGATTTATCTTTTCATGGGGACAGAAGGGAAGCAGCGGCTGTGGAACCAGATCAGGTCAGGGGAAGCTGTTTTGTGGGGCAGAAGCCAAGGGATGGAGCAATGTCATGGACTGGTTGGGCACAGAGGAATGGTGGGAGGAAGCAGCCGGGGAACCAGGAAGGGAAGATGGCTCAGAGCCCAAGGAGTGGAGGTGGAGGAAGGATGAGCGGTCAGAGGGAGAAGAGGAGAAGTCTGGGAAGAGGAGGTGTCAGAAGCTGAAGAGTTAACGTGGCTTAGTGAGCTGGGAGACTCTGTGGCAGAATGCAGTGCAGAATCAGAGGCAGAAGAGGAAGAAGGCGAGTGGGAGGAGAAGGTCAAGAGGCAGAGGTGGGTCAGGAGAAGGAGGAGCCACCGGAGGCTCCCTCTCCTTCTGCCAGAATCCACCCTCCCTGCTTGTCTCTCAGAGACAGCAGATGGCTTACAATGGAGGAGCAAAGTCAGGCTGCACTCTGGTGCACTGTTCATTTCGCTTGCCAGAACCCCAGAGAGGAGGGGACTTGGAAAGCTGTGGGGAGCCAGGGGCCTTCACTCTCGGCAACTGATTTAGTGGAGGAAGATGCTTAGGGAATGAGTTGTTGTTCTCATGAGGCCTGAAACTCAGCCAAGTCTGGTGAATATTGTGTTCTTGCTGATAAAGAGTAAATTCTAGTTGCAATTTTCATGGAATCCTAGAGTTGAAAGGGACCCCAAGGGTCATCAAGTCCAACCCCCTGCATTGCAGGAGTCTCAGCTAGATCATCCAAGACAGATGGCCATCTAAACTAGGCTTCTTTTATTTCTTTATTCATCACTGAATGCTAAAATAGGGTTCTAAGCAGTGGACAGACGAGAACAAATAGTGGCCAGGATTCACCTAACCAGCGCCATCCGCTGCAAAATGGGGCCTGCCTCCCACTCCTCCCCCTCTCCATGCCCCCATGAACCCCTTGAATTTGGCTCTAGGGCATTGGGAGGGAACCTCCCCAGAACAACTCACGAGAAGAGGAGAAAGTGGATCCTTCCATCAAGCAAACTGGAATGCTTGCGTAGGCAGAATGACTTGAAAACCACAAGGTGGAGTACCAACTATTTGCACAAAGACGAATACCCATAGTTAAAATGCAGAATAAAAGAATTCAATTAAAGCGTTAAAATAGGTGCCCATAATTAAAACATGCACAAAGCAATCCTATTGAAATAACAGCATAGGTCGGAGCCAAACAGTATAAATTGAGAGCATTTGCAGATGACTTAGTATTGACGTTACAGGAGCCAGAATCTAGTACTAAAAGGGTTTTAGAATTAATTCAAGAATTTGGTCAAGTGGCAGGATTTAAACTGAACAAGCTAAAAACTAAGGTTTTATAGAAAAATTTAACACTGATTGAAAGAGAGAGGTTTCAGAATGAGACAGGCCTGACTGTGGTTAAGAAAGTGAAATACCTGGGGATTAATATGACAGCCAAAAATGGGAACTTATTTAAAGATAATTATGAAAAATGTTGGACGGAAGTGAAAAAAGATTTAGAAATCTGGTCAAATTTGAAGCTTTCACTGTTGGGTCGTATTGCTGTGATAAAAATGAATGTATTGCCTAGAATGCTGTTTTTGTTTCAGACATTTCAAATTGTGGACAAGATGGAGTGTTTCAGGAAGTGGCAGAGAGATATTTCTAGATTTGTCTGGCAGGGCAAGAAGCCCAGAATAAAATTTAAGATATTAACTGATGCAAAGGAAAGGGGTGGATTTGCCCTGCCAGACTTTAAACTTTATTATGAATCAGCAGCTTTTTGCTGGTTGAAAGAATGGCTACTTCTTGAAAATACAGACATTTTGGATTTAGAAGGTTTTAACAACGTATTTGGATGGCATGCATATTTATGGTATGATAAGGTCCAAGCACATAAAGCATTTAAAAATCATAGTCAGGAAAGCATTGTTTAATGTTTGGATAAGATACAAGGATTTATTGGAAAACAAAACCCCAAGGTGGTTGTCACCGATGGAAGCGAAAGCTCTGAAAAGGCTCAATATGGAGGCCAAATGGCCAAAATATTGGGAAATTTTGGAACAAGAAGGAGACAAATTGAAATTGCAGAGTTTCGAGAAATTAAAAAACGAAGTGAGAGAATGGCTTCATTATTATCAGATAATGGAGGCATGTAATTTGGACAAGAAAATCGGCTTCCAGGTGGAAAAATCAAAACTAGAAACAGAACTGTTAGAACCCAAAACTAAGAATTTGTCAAGAATGTATAATTTGCTGTTGAAATGGAATACACAGGATGAAACGGTGAAATCTGTTATGATTAAATGGGCACAAGATGTTGGACATAATATTATGTTTGCTGACTGGGAACAGTTATGGACCACAGGTATGAAGTTTACGGCATGTAATGCCCTAAGAGAGAATGTTATGAAAATGATATACAGGTGGTACATGACCCCAGTCAAGCTTGCAAAAATCTATCATTTGCCCGATAATAAATGCTGGAAATGTAAAGAAACTGAAGGTACATTCTTTCACCTTTGGTGGACGTGCCCAAGGATTAAGGCTTTCTGGGAAATGATATATAATGAATTGAAAAAGGTATTTAAATATACCTTCTTGAAAAAACCAGAGGCCTTTCTCCTAGGCATAGTCAGCCAACTGGTGCGAAAGAAGGACAGAACTTTTTTTATGTATGCCACAATAGCAGCAAGAATACTCATTGCAAAGTATTGGAAAACACAAGATTTACCCACTTTGGAAGAATGGCAGATGAAGCTGATGGAATATATGGAACTGGCAGAAATGACTGGCAGAATCCGAGACCAGGGAGAAGAGTCGGTGGAAGAAGATTGGAAGAAATTCAAAGATTATCTACAGAAATATTGTAAAATTAATGAATGTTAGAATGATGTTGGATAGTAATTAAGTGGTTTCCAGCTGTAATGCTCTAAGGGAATATGAAAAAGGGTTGTAAATAGGTAAAAATCTAATGCTATTACTTTTAAGATAAAGGATTAGGATAATTAAAGAGGGTAAGGATTTGCTGAACCAACAGATTGAAGTGGAATACAAAAAAGGGAGGTAGGAGGAGGTCCGGGAAACAAGCTAAAGGAAAATAAGTTATGGAAAATCTGTGTGTTTTTAACTATTTTTGTTTTGTATTTTTGTTATTTTTTTCATTTTTATTGTAATATTTTAAAAATCTTAATAAATATCTTATGAAATAACACAGCATAATAAGCGGAATAACAAGAAGGAAACAAGAGAGCATTGTGTAGCAGATCATATTTCTGCTGTCTCATAGGAGGACATTTCCCTTTTTCTTTTAGGGTCCAGTGTGCTTTGAAGATGTCGCTGTTCATTTCACAGACGAGGAGTGGGCGTTGCTGGATCCTGACCAGAGAGCTGTGCATAAGGACGTCATGGAAGAGAATCGTGGGATCGTGTGCTCTCTTGGTAAGCCTCCCTGTGCGATCGTCATATCTGCCAGGAAATTTAAAAAATACCTCTATGTGACAAACCTCATGTCAGGGGCTGCCTCCGGTCTCAGCTCACAAAAGACCAACACCAAGCTCTTCTTATATACAAGGATGTTTATTGCAGTTCATTATTGGTTCCACAACCGAGGCGTGCAGCCCCGCGTCTCTTAGCCTTAGACGTTTGAAGTCCCCTCTGAATCGGTCCCGCCTCTACACCAGTTTAAGAGGCTTGTGCTAGTCCACCTCTTCCTGTCCTTCCTTTTCCGCAGGGTCTTTCTGCCCCCCTGGGTTCCTTCCCTCCTGCTTTCCCCTGACGCGGAGTCCCCAGATGCCTGCTCCCCCCTCCTTCGTGCTCTGGGACCAGGCTCCTCCTCCGGGCTCTCTGCATTTCCGCGCGCCTCCACATTTGAACTTGGCGCGCGTTCGCTTCCCCTGACCTTCCTCTTGACAGTTACACTACTCCCTGTACTACTCTCCGCCCCTTCCGGCAGGACGTCTTGCCCCGATCTCCTTCCCCTGTCTCCTTCCTGCTTTGCTCCGTGTGTCACACTGGGAACTCCACCCTCTGCACTCCGTTCCTGCTGGGAAGCCGGCCCCGATCTCCCACTCCCACTCGGGGTTTCCCTGCTGCTCCCCTGCTCCTGGCAAGTCCCCCCTGTGACCCCCCTTGGCTTGACCAGGGGCGCCCCCTTCTGGGAATCCTCCGATTCACTTGAGAGACTCATGGAAGACCTCAAGTCATTGTCTTCCTCTTCCTCACTGTCCTGGGATTCTTCCCCATCGCTCTCCGTCTCCTCCCTCACCTGTGCCTCTGTCCCTGAACCCCTGACACCTCATATATTTTCACAGCGCCCCCTACAACACCTGGAACCTAACACCCCCACATGAAATAGTAAATTACAGTTTTTTCTGTGAACAATCTTCCTCCAGTTCTGCCTCCTTCAACCACAGTTGGGCTGATCTGAACTGCCCAGGCTTCTGTCAGGATTTCTGCTTTTGTTTTTGCTGCTGTCAGTCTTGGGTTGACCAAAGAGAGAAATGGCATTGGAGATGGAGGGGATGCCATGACTGGGCCAAACAAAATCTGCCCCAGAGAAGAGCTAGGCTGATTGAATCTCAGTTAGTACTAGCAGTGATAATAATAGCAATAATAATAATTTATTTTTATACCCTGACCATCTGGTTGGGTTGCCCCAGCCAATCTGGGAAGCTTCCAACACATATACAGTGGTACCTCTGGTTTCAAATAGGGTCCATTCCGGAGGTCCGGCCAGATTTTCGCAACCCGAGGATCACTGTTCTGCGCATGCGCATGGATTTGCCGCTTTCATAAGCTGACGTTTACGTAACCAGAGGGTTACATGACCTGAGGTGCTACAGTATAAACATGAAACAGTAATAATAACAACAATATAATCTAATGTAAAAAGTACAAAAAAATTAAAATGAGTAACTTACTTCAAACAAAGCAACATTCAACCAACGATTAGAATCCAATAATAAATACATTGGTTTATTACAAATAACAAAGGTAATGAACACTGCCTTCTCTACAACAAATTTAATGAGCATTATTTCCTAACTGGGGGCTCCATTTGTTCCTGAGGCTCTAATCCCTTTTTCTCTCCATTTCAGATTGTGATGAATTGGAAAGCAAGAACAAAGGAGACCACAACACAATCTGCAGAGTGGAGAAGGCACGTAAATATTTGGAGTGTGGAAAGAGCTGCAGTCAGAGCTCCCATTCCACTTCCCATCAACGAAATTTCTTTGGAAAGAAACCCTATCGGTGCTTGGAATGTGGAAAGAGCTTCAGTCAGAGCTCCTCTCTCATTTCCCATCAAAGAATTCATACAGGGGAGAAACCCTATCAGTGCGTGGAATGTGGAAAGAGTTTCAGTCAGAACTTCTCTCTCACTTCCCATCAAAGAATTCATACAGGGGAGAAACCCTATCAGTGCGTGGAATGTGGAAAGAGCTTCAGTACGAGCTCCTCTCACACTAGGCATCAGAGAATTCATACAGGGGAGAAACCCTATCAGTGCATTCAATGTGGAAAGAGCTTCAGTAGCAGCTCCGATCTCACTTCCCATCGAAGAATTCATACAGGGGAGAAACCCTATCAGTGTGTGGAATGTGGAAAGAGCTTTAGTAGAAGCCCCGATCTCACTAAACATCAAAGAATTCATTCAGGGGAGAAACCCTATCAGTGTGTGGAATGTGGAAAGAGCTTCAGTAGCAGTTCCGATCTCACTAAACATCAAAGAATTCATACAGGGGAGAAACCCTATCAGTGTGTCGAATGTGGAAAGAGCTTCACTGATAGCTCCCATCGCACTTCCCATCAAAGAATTCATACAGGGGAGAAACCATATCAGTGTGTGGAATGTGGAAAGAGCTTCGCTCATATCTCCAAACTCACTTCCCATCAAAGAATTCATACGGGGAGAATCACGGAATTGTAGAATTGTGGAGCTGGAAGTGAACCCTGGTGCAATCTATTCTACCCCGTGTGATGCAGGCATAGCAAGTAAAGCATCAATGACAGATGACCATCCTAATTCACTTGAAAACCTCAAAGGATGGAAATTCCAGCACTCCCAAGGGAGTATAATCCACTAACAGCTCTTGCTGTCAAAAAGTTCTTCCACATGATTAGTCAGTCTTGAAGCCATTGGTATGTGTCCTATCCTGTGGAGTAGGAAAAAACGAGCTAGAAACTAAAAAAACAAAAAATCTTTCCTTCCCCAGAATTTAAATAATTAACAAAAAATCAGGAAGCATTCCTTGACTTCCTGTCCTCTCTTTCCATGGTTCCTTTTAACCCCAATTTGTTTATTCCAATGCTCTGGAATGCCTCTCAAACATAGTGTTGTGTCGTTTTGTTTTAATTCCAGAAGTGCAATATTATTGATTATATCCTCCTGAGTTTCTCTTACTGTGGCTAGCTCTGTTTTCATTCTATCTTGATTCCTTTTTATCTCTCAATTCTCTTCTTTCTTTCTCTTAACTGTCTCCTCCAAAGCTTGGACTGGTTTTTCCATACCATTTGTTTTCCTGGATAGTGTTTTGATTTCTGTTGTCAATTTGCCCACCTTTTTGGTGTTATTTTGTTAATCTTTTCCTAATTCCACCAGGATCTCTGCTATATTGGCATCTCCTTAGGTCGTCCCCCTTTGAGTTTGGGTGGTTTCTTTTGTGCACCCATGTTTTTTTCTGTTAGACTATTCCCCCCCCCCCAATTAAATAAAAAAAATTGTTATTCCGAAAGTCTCCGCTCGGCGTCTCTACCACTTTTGTCTTGCGAATATTATTTTATTTTCTTTCTCCTGTAGTAACCTATGTTATCTGTAATGGGAAATGGGGTTGCTTGTGCATAAACTGCAAACTGCTCCAAGCTAGCCGTGTAGCTAAAACTTTCCCCGGTTGACAGCCTTTGAAACGCGACTGTCTTAGTCACTGGCAGAATCCGTCAGTGGGCGGGACCTAAATTTCTTCCAACATAAAAGTTGCTTGACTCCAAGTCTCCTCCTAGATTCTCTGCGTGGAAGCCTTCTGCGCAGCGTGGGCGTGCCAAGCGGAGGTCCGGTGCTCTCTCCGCTGATTTCACTGGAAGAGTCTCGGAGCCTCCCCTCCGCCTTGCTCCCGGCTTCCCCTTTCTCCTTGGTGTCCCCTGGATTTCTTTCCCCTGTGGGAACCCTCTCTCTCTCCTTGCTAGTTCCCTCCCCTGCATCACTGGAGGGACTTTCCTCTCCTCTTCCCTCTGATGGCAGTTCCCTGACATTATCCATAATTTGA